AAGCTCCCAAAAAAAAATGGATGCAATTTTCCCAGCTACAAAAACTGAGAGCTAAAATTGCAGCAATGATTTGTATCTGCCCGGAGCAGCAATCCCAGCCTTTGGTGACCTCTGCGGGAATGTACCAAGCCAATTGCACACTGTGACAGCAGCTTTGCCCTTCCTCTATCAGCAGCTTCCTGTTGCTGGCTGCAAGAAACGTCAAAAGGGAGCACAATAAATATAGGTGTTAGTGAGCAGGCTGGCGACAAGCAGCCTAGAGGTTTAATCAAGATTTGGATCAAATTGTGTGAGGTGTTTTGTATACATTGATCTCATTGAGTTGTTACAGCTACAGGATGTAATTCCCAACCACCTGCCCATTTAATCTATGAAAATCACCATCAGCAACTCAGCTCTATTCTCCTCCTCCATCCCCAGTTGTTTACCAGAATCTTCATCAGCAGATGAGTAGCAAACCACCTCATCCTTTAGCATCCTGCACATGGGACATCGCCAGCAGCACTCTCATGCCATCTTGACAAGAAAACACTAGCCCATGAGGCAAACTGAAGTGTTATAAAGCCTCCAACCATAGCTAGCAGCGGACAGGATGAATGTCATGACCTTCTTAGAGATTAAGGATTGGAACTGGATGACCTTAAGGTCCTTTCCAACCCAAACCATTCTGCATTTCTATGATTAACAGGCAGAGGAAAGTGATGTGCTGCCTGACAGTTTGCCTTGCATTGCCTAGGACACCAGAGTTCCAACTTCTTGTTGAACAACACCATCACTGTACTGGTGATAAGGATGCTTTATCTGCTGGGCAGCCTAAAGAACCTCTCCTTCACACCCTTACTATAGAAAGGATAAGAAGCAACAGGGGTTGAGAGCTTGGGAATTTGTGACTCCAGCTGCCAGCCTCTTCTGCTCCAGGAAAAGAAATATATGAAGAGTATGATGAAGAGCATGGAAGAGACACTTACAGGACAAGAAAGTTGGGGCTGTTCAGCCTGGAGAAGAGAAGCTGCGTGGAGACCTCAGAGCAGCTTCCAGTGTCTAAAGGGGGCTACAAGGATGCTGGAGAGGGACTCTTCATCAGCGACTGTAGCAATAGGACAGGGGGTGATGGGTTCAAATGAAATAGGGGAAGTTCAGGTTAGATATAAGGAAGAAATTCTTTACTGTGAGGGTGGTGAGGCACTGGAATGGGTTGCCCAAGGAAGCTGTGAACGCTCCATCCCTGGCAGTGCTCAAGGCCAGGTTGGACACAAGGGCTTGGAGCAAGCTGCTCTAGTGGAAGGTGACCCAGCCCACGGCAGGGGTTGGAACTGGATGAGTTTTAAGGTCCCTTCCAACCTAAACCAGTTTGGGATTCATAACCCCTGGGCTTCTGAATCTTACCATCAGCAGGAGATGCACTTAGGCCTGGATTTCAAGCATCACAGGCTCACGATATCCCTGTCTACTGCAGCATATTCCTAAGAGCACCTAAAATCCAGGTGATTCTCCATCAGGAGAAAGAAACCCAGGAGCAAAGACCAAAAAGCCTCACAGGGGATCTCCCAAGCATGAAGACCAAACAATCCTACCAGTGCCCATGAGGACACAGTATCCCCAGATCCCATCTGCTACCCTCCTCCTGAGATGTTTACAGGAGGAAACCACCTCAGCCGCCCAGCTCACCAGTCACCCAGGTGCCTTCTCCAATCTGCTCCACCTACGCCTGTGCATGCAAAACAAACCCCAGGGCAGCTGTGTTTTCCCCAGCAGAGCAAAACAGCAGACTTGGAGAGGGGAGATCCATCTAGAAAGCAAACGTTGTGAAAAGCATCCTGCCAGTCCCCTCCACTGCTCCGCTCCGACCTGCAGCACTTGCAGCACTGTGTGCAGTTCTGGTGTCCTCAACATAAGAAGGACATGGAGCTGTTGGAGCAAGTCCAGAGGAGGCCATGAGGATGATCAGGGCTGGAGCACCTCCTGTATGGAGACAGGCTGAGAACACTGGGGCTGTTCAGCCTGGAGAAGACAAGCTGTGTGGAGACCTCAGAGCAGCTTCCAGTGTCTGAAGGGGGCTACAAGGATGCTGGAGAGGGACTCTTCATTAGGGACTGTAGTGACAGGACAGGGGGTGATGGGCTCAAACTGAAACAGGGGAAGTTCAGGTTAGATCTAAGGAGGAAGTTCTTTACTGTGACAGTAGTGAGGCACTGGAATGGGCTGCCCAGAGAAGTTGTGAATTCTCCATCCCTGTCAGTGTTCAAGGCCAGATTGGACAGAGCCTCAGATGACATGGTTTAGTGTGAGGTGTCCCTCACTGGATGATCTTAAGGTCCTTTCCAACCCAAACCATTCTGTGATTCTATGATTCCAGCAGGACAAGCATGCCCAAGGGTAATGTCAGCCATTCATGGTGATGGCAAGGATTCAGAGAAGGAAAACCTGGTGTGGGAGATGACACAGAAATACATTAAGTTTCAATGCAAAAGGCAAGGAGGCCGGCAGAACTGCACACCAAAGCTTCAGCTGGCAGAAGGCAGAGCAGTTCTAATGAAGACACAATGGATCCAACCCCTGTATACTGATACACACTACAATGATAACATCATGCCAATCCATCCAGGACTTTCATCATCTGCTTGGAACTGGGATGGAGACATCCTCTTACAACATGCAGACTGAACACACCCTCTTAAATAGTATACTTTAGGCTTTCCTTTCTTTTCTCTTTCCTGTTTCTTCTTTGTCTGAAGTGCCATTAAACTAAATTGTGTCTGCCTGTAAAGATAGAGAAAATGTTACTGACTCTTTAGGTGAGATTCATTTCAGGACTGTGGCCAGACCGAGGATATTGGTGGAACAAAAATCATTTATAGTTGGATAACGAGGTTGCAGTTCTATGAGTAATCCTCCTGAGTTACACTCCCAGCACCATGGGTGTGGGTGACACATTCATTCCTCCCCTCCCTTTTTGAATGGAAAATGCCATCCAAGCACGCAAACACAATGTTTATTACTGAGAAACCAACAAAAATCGTGAGGTGGGGGCACAGATTGCAGCTCACTTGTACAGGGTCCAACACGGGTCCTATCTACGAGTTTGCTGGTGGGTTGTCCAGGAACGTCACCTAGCTGCCACACAACCCAATGTACTTCGTATCCCCAAAACCTAAAGAGCCTTTTGGGGAGAAATCAGGACAGTACCAAGACAAATCAACAGTTCAAGATACTGTACACCTCTACTAGCAATGACGTGGAAAGATTAACCCAAGCTTCCTCACTCCAGTGTTCGCATCTCACTGCTGGGCCACCTCGCATCTTTGTGCATGGCCCTGTACACATTGCAGGGTGCAACTGCCTGTATCAATGCCACATTGCTCCCAGCTCGAAATAGTGCCAGTGGATTGCAATCAGCTCCCTCTTTTAAGCAAGCAAAAGCTTTTACAAAGAACTCACTTGAATTTTTAATGTTATCAAGGCTAAGTTGGATGGAAATTGGAGAAGAGGAAAACTGGCCCTCTCTGCTGCATCTGGACCCATCACCTGCCATTACTCAACTGCCTTTCTGGGGATTCTCCATGCCTTCCCGTATGCCATGCCATGAAAACAGCTCAGGACAGTTCTTGCTGCAATGATATCGACTCTGTTTCTTGAAGAGGATGAATTAGCCCATGGAACCAGTGGAAGACGGCTGAGGCAGAGAGCTGGACCTTTACAATCCAGTAACTACAGTCCAAAAACCTGAAGATGCAGGCTCAGAACCTCTTTCCTAGTGGTACAAACAGCATAGAATCACAGAATGGTTTGGGTTGGAAAGGACCTCAAGATCATCCAGTTCAAACCCCCTGCCATGGGCAGGGATGCCTCACACTAGACCATGTCACCCAAGGTTCTATTGAACACTGCCAGGGATGGACCACTTACCACTTCTTTAAGAAGCATCAAGGAAGACATGCAGGTGGTTACAGACAGGCTGTGCAGGCAATTTATGTCCCCATAGTTGGTTTGACTGTTCCCCAGATTCCTGCTTTGCTGGCTTATTCCCCCATCAACCCACTGAGTTATTCCACCAAGCTAACCACAATACCAAAGAGCCTTTGAAATGAGCACAATGGGCTCAGAAGCATCTTCCATCATACAGAACTCACATTAAAACATACACCCATCCTCGCCTCCCTCCCTGCATTCATCACACGGAATGCCAAGAGACATTCCCTCCCCATGTCATGTCAAGAGGCTCCCAACAGCTGAACGTGCTCATGGGAAGCTGCATTTGCAGCAGCAAGAGCATCACTCTCCTCTTACCAGGCTTCCAAGCAGGGCTCCAGCTCCACCGCCATGCCTGTTCCAGCAGACGATCTGTTGCTTGAGACACAGCAAGGTGCCTTTAGAGCACTGTGTCCTCCATGCACATAGAGGACAGACATCCTTCAGTACATGGGAGAACCAGGAGAACACAGGTTTCCCAATATTCTATAGCAGCAAAGGGCTACCATGAGTATTTTCTCACAAACCACCGCTAAAGGTCTCATCCATGTTCTGGCTTTGCCACCACTGACACAAGAGCAGTAAAACTAGGAGCCAGGAGACAAACTGAACCAACCTCTGTAAAAACCTCAAGCAGAAGGTGAGAACAAACACAAAATTTGGGGGTTACACCACCACGACATCTCACGAAGTTGGGCAGCCCGAAGTAGAAGAAGCTTCTGAGAACCATTTGTGAAAGCACCTTCATCCACCATGCACACCAACCGCTCATCCTACAGAGAGGTTTTGGGCAAAGATGTGACACTGCACTACTATACCAGGGCAAAACACTGATACCCATGCTACATCTGGCCATAGGACTCTGCAGCTCTAGCTGAGAATGAGCAGTTCTATAAGAGGGAGGATCAGATGCTGACTCAGAGCCCTGAAGGCATTGTGAAAACCCTATTCAACGCCAAGGCACCAGTACAGCAAGCCAAGTAATTCCCAAGGTCTTGCTGCAAACCCCAGCTGATTTTGGTCCAGCTTACCTCCCTCATCCATGTGGTTGACAATTCCTTCATGGCTCATCAGGCTATCAGGACCACAGCGAGAGAAGTGATGGCATCTCAGCCACCTCCTGGCTTAGCAGACACAGCTGCCTGCACTCGATGCATATTTTCAGGCTGAAACTGCTGCAAAACTAACTGCCACGGAGGAGGGGGTGCTTCTTCTCTGGAAACACAGAGGCACTTTCCATTTCTTCCCTCCCTGCCCCTGGATTTTACCAGCCCATAGAAGGAAAGAGGAATTGCATGACTCAGAGGGAGAGTCATCTTCTACCCGTTACAGAGATGCACAGATACACCCAAGGAGCTGGGTGAGACACTGTCTTCTGTCCCAGGCCATCAGTATCACACTAACCAACACCAGCCCTGTAACATGCCCATGAGAAAACACAGACAAGAGGCAACAACAGTACCAAGAAGCAGAAGCTAAAATACCATGACTGTCCCAGCTGTGGTGAACAGATGGAGGTTTCCTCCATTCCATCACAGTATTCAAGAAACCACCAAGCCAACCATGAAGGTCCTCATCCCATGTGCAAAGGAGGTCATGGAAGGAGAAGTATGCACTTTGCTGCATGGATCAATGTGGTTGAGGTGTAAGAACTACACCTAGGAACAAAGCGAAGACGACATCTCTTAGTGATGCCTGCAGTATCTCACATACTATGCTGGCTTGCCTGCTTCACAAGCTTTGAGCTTGTGGAACACATCTCCAGAAGAAGCTTGAATCTGCTGGCGTATATTTATCATTGTCTCTGGTTTGACTTCATTTTTGTTGTGGTGCCCAAATATCTGACTGCTGAAAGAATGGAGTGGATGCTGAGGCGCTAGCACAGGGTGCCCAGAGAAGCTGTGGCTGCCCCATCCCTGGCAGTGTTCAAGGCCAGCTTGGACACAGGGGCTTGGAACTGGATGAGCTTTAAGTTCCCTTCCAAACCATCCTATGATCGGTAATGCACATGCACAGAGGCACCTGGAGATGTTTCCTCTGATGCACAAAGACAGACGTGAAGCCAGATTTCTTACTGTGCAACAGCCCTGCACCAGTGGCAATACCAGATGTCAGAATTGAGCCCCTGCAACACTGCAAAGTTCACTTGATGGGTACAGATGCTGCAGCCCCCATGGTACATTTCCAATACCAGCTGTTTTCTCACTCCCTCCTTACCTCTAAATACAGTAATAAAACATGGATCTGGAGATTGAACATGGCAAAATGACTCTCATACACAAAGATATCAATGCATTTCAGAAAGGCCTTCAGAGTCACTTATCTGATGACTAGACTCCACTGACAGCATTTATGAACTTAAAAATGCATATTAGGCTCCAACATCCTCTTCCTGTCACTCTCTTTAGGATGCAAATGCAATTTAACACAATTAGACAGGATAGAAAGCCCAGAGCTTTAAACAGGATCAACTGCATTCCAGTTGTTGGGCAAGATAAAGGGGTGCCAGCTCAACATGCAACTGGACAAAAGCACATTGCAGATCTGGATAGATTCCAGGTCAGCATGGGGATGTGCTCGCAGCCCAGAAAGCCAACTATATCCTGGGCTGCATCAAAAGGAGCATGACCAGCAGGTCCAAGGAGGTGATCCTGCCCCTCTACTCTGCTCTTGTGAGACCTCACCTGGAGCATTGTGTGCAGTTCTGGTGTCCTCAACATAAAAAGGACACGGAGCTGTTGGAACAAGACCAGAGGAGGCCATGAGAATGCTCAGGGGCTGAAGCACCTCCCATATGGAGACAGGCTGAGAAAGTTGGGGCTGTTCAGCCTGGAGAAGAGAAGCTGCGTGGAGACCTCAGAGCAGCTTCCAGTGTCTGAAGGGGGCTACAAGGATGCTGGAGAGGGGCTCTTCATTAGGGACTGTAGTGACAGGACAAGGGGTAACGGGTTAAAACTGAAACAGGGGAAGTTCAGGTTGGAGATAAGGAAGAAGTTCTTCCCTGTGAGGGTGCTGAGGTACTGGCACAGGTGCCCAGAGATGTTTTAAATGCTGCATCCCTGGCAGTGTTCAAGGCCAGGTTGGATGGGGTTTGGAGCAACCTGCTGCAGTTCTATCTGGGTGAAAAAAAACAACCAACCAATCACACACCCATCGAGTAATCCTAAAATTGTCAGCAGGAAAGCAAAAGGTTTCATTTCCAAAAAGAAATAACTCAGTCTCATCTTTAACTCTAGAAAATGCCAAATTCCAAGACAGGAGCCAGGGTACATTGCTCCATTTGCTGATGTGTTACCTGAAATGCTCAATGTTTAGGCATCAAAGAGACAAGAGGAGGAGAGAGCTCTCGGTGTGAGGCTTCAGGGTTCTGAAGGCATTTATTGCCACTGCTTCACTTTCAGATGAGAACTGAGAAGCTGACAAAGTGTCTGGAGGTACCTTAAAACATTTCTCATCACGACTGCTCTTTGCAGCTTAAAACTGGCATGGAATAGATATTTCTATATAATCTGCCTTCTCCCACAGAGAAATCAGTTATCCCTAATTCTGGGCAATTTTCCTAGTAAAAGACCCCCCAGAAAAGTATTTTTTTACTGCAGACTGCAATTTAAGAAATTAGATTTATTTTTTTTTAAAAAAGGAACAGATTTATTAGTCTAGTCCTCTGGATCCATCCCATAAAGCCCCAGTGAGTTCAGAGAAAATTTAGGTGGTAACAAAGAGCTTGACAATACGTATCCAGGAGAAATCCACAGAACCCCAGACTAGTTTGGGTTGGAAGGGACCTTAAAGCTCATCCAGTTCCAACCCCCTGCCATGGGCAGGGACACCTTCCACTAGAGCAGCTTGCTCCAAGCCCCTGTGTCCAACCTGGCCTTCAACACTGCCAGGGATGGGGCAGCCACAGCTTCTCTGGGCACCCTGTGCCAGTGGCTCAGCACCCTCACAGAGAAGAGCTTCTGCCTAAGACCTCATCTTAATCTCCCCTCTGAGAGGTTAAAGCCATTCCCCCTTGTGCTATCACTATTCAGTTTATCAGCTCTACCCCTGCAAGAAGCAATGAGCTAGAGAACCACCTTAACCACAGGTACAAGGTACCAGATGCGGCAGCTTCATGCTTGGCATGCAGAAGTTGCTTGGGCCAGTCCCGCATCCCGGTGCCTTCACCTCCCATCCTGAATCTGACACAACAGCACTGCCCCCTGTAAAGTGCTTTGAGATTTCCAGATCTTACATAAGTCCAGGTGTTACTGCCTTGGAGCCCAAAGCAAACCACTGCAGAAAGCTAATGGTGCGGGTCTATCTGAAAATAGACAGAAATCCCCACCAAAAACACCTAAGTCGTCATGATAGAAAAATAAATCCCAGCAGATTGTTGCTAGCATTATATGAATCATCATGTTGTTATAGCAACTTCATATCTGCATCGACTCTGAAAACCAAGCACAGCTGAAATAATATAACAGCATTAAGCAAAAATGATATATAACAAGATAAAAACGGCTCGGCTCGATCTCAGAGGAGCACCCACACTTCTTTCTCACCCTCTTCCCTCCCTTTGAAAACATTGCCTTCCTGTATTTAAACAAGAAGAGACTTATGGAGGAGAAGCAGAGCACTAACAAGCCTTGGAATTCAAGGAGAACCTTAAAAATGAAGAACCACCTTCAAATGACCCTGGAAATGGTTGCCCAGAGAGGCTGTAGCTGCCCCATCCCTGGCAGTGTTCAAGGCCAGGTTGGATGGGGCTGGGAGCAACCTGCTCTAGTGGAAGGTGTCCCTGCCTGTGGCAAGGGTGGGAACTGGATGAGCTTTAAGGTCCCTTCCAACACCAAACCATTCCATGATTCTATAATATTAAGTGTCATTCCCAGTTTTCACCAACAGCCGCAGCCAACAGCCCCTCCTGTTCCTATGTACTGCAAAATCCATGCATTGCAGGAATTAGATAAATCATGTATTTTTATAAATTCTATAAATAATTTCAATATAAATTCATCCATTGCATGAATTCTATAAATACATATGCACCCTCTCATCCTGCTCTTATCCAGAGAGATTCCAGCCAGAACAGCAGATGCAGAAGGAAGACCAGGGATGCACAAGGTCTATTATTAGAACTGCAGGTATTTGTGGTTCTTTTATTACTGGAGAAGGAAAAATTGGTTCCTTCCATCAGAGGAGCCAAGGAAGAAAGCTTAATAAACACACTGAATTCAGAGACTTGGCAGAGAAGCAGAGCTCCTCCGAAAGGAAGATGTTCCCATCAACCTCCAAGACATCACAAGAGCCTTAAAAGACAGGGCTTCACCACAATCAGTGCCAAGGATGCCCAGAAAGCATCACTGCTCGTCCTCCCCATGGGATGCTGCCAGCATCAAGGGTTGAAAGGCGAGGAAGGGAAATATTTGTGAGATTTGCACTGTTACAGAATCACAGAATGGTTGGGATTGGAAAGGACCTTAAGATCATCTAGTTTCAAACCCCTACCATGGGCAGGGACACCTCACACTAGACCATGCCACCCAAGGCTCTTCCTATCCTATCACTACAGTCCCTAATGAAGAGTCCCTCTCCAGCATCCTTGTAGCCCCCTTCAGACACAGGAAGCTGCTCTGAGGTCTCCACTCAGCTTCTCTTCTCCAGGCTCAACAGCCCCAACTTTCTCAGCCTGTCTTTATATGGAAGGTGCTCCAGTCCCTGAGCATCCTTGTGGCCTCCTCTGGACTTGTTCCAACAGTTCCATGTCCTTATGTTGAGGACACCAGAATTGCACACAATACTCCAAGTGAGGTCTCAAAAGAGCAGAGCAGAGCAGAGGGGCAGGATCACCTCCTCTGATCTGCAATTTCATGTTTCAACCAAACTAAAAGCAGATCTACAAAACAAGCAGCTCTAGTCCCAACAAAGTCCTATCACTCAGTTAATTAAAAGCCAATAAAAAGAAGCAGTCTAACTTATTCTTTCAGAGTTCAAGACAGCAAAAGCATCACTGTGCCCCAGACAGAAGAACTCTGGTTTAGTTTTTTCTTCTTAAATGCATTTATTGATTAATGTTCCCTCGCAGGCTGTGCAATGAGTCACTTCTTACTGCTCTCTAAAGTGCAAAGGGATGGAGAGGAACAGTACTTAAAGAGAGGATGGAGACACAGAGCCTGTTAGAAAAGCTTTGGAGGGGATCACAGATAA